TTTTGGAACATGCACCAACTTTTGTCAAGGATAAAATTCTCTGAGAAATCGATAATAAAGAAGTTTCCCATTTGTTGCAGACTCAGTCGACCACACTGTATATGAATCAAAATGGATTGTAGGTATTGAAAAGATGCAAAAAAATTTTAAAAAATAAAAAAGTACTCCTCAATTTTACTCTGAATATCCATGTATCATTTTTTCGCCACCAATGTTTTTATACAAAAAAAAACAAATTTTTCAAATCCTAGAGACGATCAGTTTGCACCTCTCCAAACATTCTATAAAATATTACCTTTCCTCGTGCAGAAATATGTACAGGATTATATAATCTGTAACAATGATATAAATTGTAAAAATGTCAGTTATGGAATGAAATGAATAAAGTTTCATTTGATTTTAATAAAGTATATCAACGAAGGAGATATTCATCGTCTATTAGAGATTTTACATCGATTCCATTCGATTAGTTTGTATCTAGAATTGAGTAAATTGATTCCATGATTTTCTCTGCATAATAATTGTGAAAAATTGTGGATAAAAATATGGCTACTTCCAGAAAATGAATCATTCGTCATCAAGGAAAAGGATGGGTTCACAATTAATCAGGTTCAGCACGAACATTGAATGAAGAAGTGTCCATGTTGATTTCAATAACTTGCCATAGTTTTTTTTTTTAATATAACACAAGCACTACAATCCTTAAGGCGCTCTTAGCGCGGTGCCTGTGCGAAAGTAGCAATTTGAATCGATGGAGATTAAATCCAGTTGGAAAAACGTTCTTAGAAAGTTTATTCCACATAAACGCAGCCACAGTCCGCTCTTGATAGAATAAAATATGCCAAATCATTTGAACACCTTCTATGAAAGTATATATAGAAGAGAGACAAATCTCCAACCTTTCTTTGATGCCTGAGGCACGTGATGTTTGCGTCTCCAATCTAAATGTCAGAAAACAAATAGTCAAAGTAATAACAATGGGGGATAGACAATGCTGACACATTCGTGACAACAGACTTATGATTTATCTTTGTGAATGATATTGAAAGTGACTCCCCATTCTATGAATTAGAGAGTGGAATTCCTACCAATATTTTCTATTTCTGTAGGGGTGGTTTGTTGATATCTTGGGAAAATATATAGTTCCAATGAGATTTTTCAATCTGCCCAATAAAAAAGATATACAAGATATATATGAATTCTAAATTATTAATGAAACACGCTTTGGTTCAATGACTCGTATGAATTAGGACAATCATGCGATACACTAGAATTGTTGAATATTTCTCCAGGTCAAAAACCTTCACTTATATCAACCACAACAGAAAATCTTCCGTCGCGTCATCGCAAAAATATATGTTTACAATTGAATCGTATCACAATAACATTGCTCTCATCAACATGCAAAATGTTTCTCCAGATATAATTTGAAAACGGTTAAGAATTTTATTTACAGGAAACGTGTCTCATTATGCGACATTCTTCGTCTGCACTTTGCGGACAATGGGGCGTTCATTTGCCAAGTTAATAGTCTATTTGTATGTATATATATTTTAAATATATTTGTTTATTGTCCGTGATATGAATCGATTGTTCTGTTCGAACGCCCAAAGATGAATTCATTATCATTTGCATGCATATATTAATCATTGGCGGCAAGCTTGACGTCAGTTGGTGCAACAATGACTACCGGACCGGACGTGATCTGACAATATCTGTGATCAAATGTTAGTAGTGTTCATACACTCAGGTGCATATAAAACGACCACCTTGGAAGGTTAACAAAGGTTAAATTACTTTTTTAATTTTTCAGCCCGATTTTGATAACACAGCCCATTGAAAAAAATGTTTGTCTTGATGCCGAAAAAAAATCAACCGATTTTGGTTAATTCATCTGTGCTGATTCCAAAAATACAAACCTTTTCTTTGTATCAGCTCTATTTTTTGAGATATAACATACTCATTAAATACTTAAATATTCTTACATTTCTGTATATTCCTCCACTATAATTGAAATATGTTTATAAACAAAATTAACAAATTCTAAGACAAATGCATACTAATGACTTCTAATTAAAGTGTACTTATTGGAAATGCCTATAACATGAAATTAACGCTAATTGCTTCTTACCTATTGTCCGATAAGTAAATAGTATTTTCTCGGAAATGGCCTTAATAAATTCCTATAAAGTCGACTGTATTCCATTGTAAAATTTAGTCTAAACTTGAGTTTCGTTACAAGAGTTTGTTTTTGACAACTGAAATCCATGGCTTCTACAAGCAGGCGTTGTTGTGTGAATAACCCGAACGTTTTTTGTTACATATGTGGCGAGTATATTGTAAAGGAAAGTAGAAAACCAGTTTGTGATTTTATAAAAAGGGCATATCAAGCCTATTTTGGTGTTCATTTAGGAGATCAAGATAAATCCTGGGCTCCATATGTAGTATGCCAAACTTGTCTTGAAAACTTGCGACAGTGGACTAAAGGACAACGAAAACGTTTGAAGTTTGGTGTCCCAATGGTATGGAGGGAACCAAAAAATCATTGACGATTGCTATTTCTGTCTTGTGAATATAAAATCGTAACAATCGACATACGTGGACATATCCTAACCTGGATTCAGCAATAAGACCAATTCCACATCAGCTTGAGCAGATACCCATTCCAATAATTAGCAGCCTACCTACATTACCAGAGGATAATAGAGTTTAGGAAGACGACAGTGATTTTAAAGGGCATTCAACACGTCCTGCGCG